TAAGAAAGAAAGATAAAACTGATTTATCTTTTACTACAGGATGGAAAATATATGTATTGTTGTGTGATTTAACTTTTATTTTTTATTTTTACAGGCGTGTCTGGTTCTACTGTTAGTTGTTCAACTCCGATATCAAATTCATCTGGAGGCACAATTCCCGCGAATGGGGGAGAATCTCAGCGGTGTTTATCACAGGTATTTGCTATTTGCATGCAATTTTGCTTGCAATTTTTATTTTATTTTATTTTATATGTGCTGATTTAGGTAAATTTCACTGCACCATATTTTATGTTTAGATATGTAGGCTTAAGGATATTAATGTATTTACCTTTGCAATTTATGTTCACGTCATTTTGTTTCCCACATGATTTTTGTTTTATGAATTTTAGATTAATTAGTGCTACATATTTGTAATTTGAAACTATGATTTTCTACTAGAATCGTATGTGTATTAATTTCGATGGCTCTTGAATTATGAAATTGTTTTTTTTGTGTGTTAACTTTTTAATATATGACAAAATTATGCAAATAAGAAAATTGTTACATTGATGATGTTTTACTTAGGAGCCATTGAAGTTTGCTACCTTTTTCTTTTTGCTTGTTGTCTTTTTGTTTTGTTTTTGTTTGGTGTGTGTAGTCAGGGCTTCGCCTGTCGAGCGTTTGCAGTTCGGACTCCGGCTTTCGATCGCAGGACACCTTGCAACGACGTTCGCTCTACACTCGTAATGTAATTCTATCATAAATTTAAAATTTAATAATTACTAGGTTCTAAAATTTATTTGTGCAATTTAAACCTTAGTAAAAGTAACACTAGCTTTAGTAATCATTTGGTGTTTGTTTGTCTTTTTTCTTTGAGGATAAATTCTTTGAACCTATTGTCAAAAAAAACGAAACGTGAATTCATTGGAATGTGGTGTTCGCGGTTGTAAGACCGAAAGACCAAATATGAAAGTTACGACTAGAAAAATTTTCTCTCTAGATATTTCTTATCGCCTGCTTATTTCTTGTTTTAGATCAGCTTTATACATATGTTTTGGTTATTATGTAAATGTTAGTTACTAGCGGTCGCCGGCGACTTCGTCAGCGCGTAATAAAAATATAATTCCTAAATGTGTTCTTCCAGAGTATGTTCTATATGTATGCCAAATTTTGTCGAAATCCATTCAGCCGTACCTTTAAACAAACATCTTAACATTCGCATTTATAATATTAGTAATATTTAACAGCTATTTTGTGTTTTGTATCTTTAATAATGAAAGTATATGACAAGTAGTTGTGTAGATAAAAATGAAATCTCTCTTTTTAAATTGGAGCCGTCAATAAGTTTGAATAGGACTGTATTAAAATCAAATGTAGAAAGGATTCCCGTGTTTCAGGGTTCGGATAGCCATAGTGTAAGCAGCGAATGTATAACACCATCGAAAAGCGCTATCGACGATGATAATACTGACGACAGTCATGACATGGGCAATGCTGGTATGTATAGTTTGATAGCCTTCTTGATCAGCCATTTATCGTGGTCTTCTAAGTCCAAATCTCTGGTTAAAACATATTGTCATCTCTGTGTTGTCAAAGATAGTGGTAACGATATGTTTTATACAGAGATTTTGGTGTCAGAAACCCATGGTTAAAATCGTATTTATACTAATGTAAAAAGGCGAAAACACAAACTTCTTGAATAATTCTTTTTGTAATAAAAATTCTACTCAACGGAGTTAGACAAAGTGCATTCGCTTCGAGGCGATTCCATAGCGAACTTCAAAAATGACTTTCGATAAGGTCATGTGATTGTTGCACGTCAGTTTCATACATTTTTGAAATCCCCAAGATTATGAAAGGAATAATCCATGAAAATTGGACTACGTTACTTTTCAAAGTATATTAATATGGTTCAGCTGTACTGAGATTTGCTCATAATCAATTGAATTAATTCTGATGAATGATATTCCAGCTTCAGCTACTTGGCCCGATTTAAAAGACACAGCGCAATTTGAAAGAGCCGCTTCTGCTATTATGAGTGGACGGCCTCATACTATTTCATCAGGTAAAATTTTATGATATCTTTTCTTCAGTAGCAAAACTACATCGTAATTAAAAAAACTAAAAAAAAATCAAATATCTGTATGTTTGTTTCTATGCATTCCTATAACTGGACAGAATTTCATGAAACTTTGGTAGAATATTCAAAGGATGTGAGAGAAGGTTTGTGCAAAGATAAAAATGTTTTTCCCTTTTTAATGAAAGTTTTCGCTTGTATTTACAATGATAGAGTTAGCCTTAACTGGCTTGATGACAGAAACCGTTGTCAGAATTAGTTCTGCAAAAAAAAATAAGTAAAACCTAATCAGGTAAATGACATTCAAGATATGACATGACAATACAGTTGCAGTATGACAAAGATCTTTTGACACTTTGACATTGAAAGGCTATTGAACTTGTCCTACGGATCATATAAAGTCGGTCTATAAATTACATTGTATTTGTCATGTCATGTCTGTGATTTTCTATGCTTTGCTGGGTACATATTATCTGAAAAAACGAACAGCGAAAGCAGCAACTCTCACTTTAGTGTGTCACAATATTTAGACTTTTGACTTTGGTATTACAACGCATGCTGCGTTCAGTTATCAACAGAAAACTTTATAAAAGTATTCCTTGATATTCGTATTTTTTCTGACTGGCCACTTTCTTGCCTTGAAGTGGCGATCTCTCGTACTAGGAGCTTTACCTAAGCCTTGTTTAAGTGTAGCTCGTGGGTTCCTTAGAAACGTAGCTTCGGGTTACTTAATTTTTAAACGTAATTCCAATTGTTTTGAACTTCGCATTTCCCTCCTTATACATCCTTTTACACCCCACTATAGCTTACATTGTGTTTTGCGACTCATGCGAAACTCCTAGTTAAAATGTTTGAACTTTTTCCTTTGTATAGGAGATCGTGTTCATCCCCGTTCTACACTCAGCGTGCATACATTCTCGTCTGAAGGATTGGGCACTTTGTCTCGTGATGGCGGGATATACGCCCGCCCACCGCTGCCTACTGTAAGTTGTACATTTACTCTGCTCCAAATTTAATCAGTTTCTAAACAAACCAAATTAGGAGATGGCTAATACAAATATTTTGACTAGCTGTCGATTGTCGAAGTTCGAATTGAAAACTTAATAAATAGCCTATGTGAGGCCAGACTATGTTCTAAATCTATGCCAAATTTCATCAAGATCAGTTAAGCTGTTTCGGAGATATCTTCAAACATCCATCCATCAATGTATTTAAACATCGTAAGATCTAATCACCCAAAGCGAAACATCGAGATAAGTTTATAATATACGCATAAAATATGAAAAATATTTTTTTCAGAGATGCTCATCTCTGGAGCGGCCATCTTTACCTGCCAAGTCAGTGAATGCCAACACTGGGCAACAGGAGATCAAACCTATAAAGCCTTCTTCTCTCCCACCACATCTCACTAAAGGTATGTTTATCTACTAATATTATATAAAAGTAAGATTTGTTTGTTTCCATTTGGTCCCAAAACTAGTGAAGCGATTTGAAAAATTCCTTCTCTATTGAGAAGCTACACTATCCCCAGGTGACATAGACTATATTTGTCTGTTTGTTTTTAACATTCATTTCGTTATTATCACTTTAAATTCTATAAGGGAGCCTGATGTTTAACACGTTCACTTCCACTAAATCGTCCGTCAATTTCACTTTAATACTTGAAAATAGTTTGACATTGAATGTGTTAAATAGCTAAGAATAAGTTTCAACGTTCCTTTACAATTTCTTTATCGTTCTTCATACTATCGTATTTTATATAATACTAGCTGTCGGCCGCGACTCTGTCCGCGCGGGATGAAAAATAGATATTGGCCGATTCTCAGAGCTACTCAATATGCTCACAAAATTTCATGAGAATCGGTCAAGCCGTTTCCGAGGAGTATGGGAATAGTGTGACACGACAATTTTATATATAAGAAGATTGTTGATTGTAATCTAGAACATTCTATTGTAGAAATGCCGCAAGCTCTATACGTCAATATGTCGGAGCTGGCAACACTGGCCGCATCACGTGCGCAACAACAACAACAGCAGCAGCAACAACAACACGGCTCTGAGTTCCCGCAGCAGGAAAAGGTTAGTTACTATCATTAATTGAAAGTTACTATTAATAACTAAAAGTTACTATCAATAATATGTCTTACTTATCTTACTTCTTACTAGTGTTATATATGCGAATGTTTAGATGGATGGATGTTTGTTCGAAGGTATCTTCAGAACGACTGAACGGATTCTGATTAAATTTAGTACATATGTAATACATATTCTGAAAGCACATATAGGCTTCGTATTATATTATTGTGCGCAGATGGAGTCGCAGGTGACAGCTACTTATATCTAAAAGTTACTATCAATAACTATAGGTTATACGACTATTAATAATTCAAACGCACTATTAATAACTAAAAGTTACTATCGATAACTATAAGTTATTCTTAATAATTATAAGTTATCATTTCTGTCGCTAAAATTACGCATAAATATGTGAGTGTCAAAGTTAGCTTTTTTGAAGGTAAAACAAGTATATTGTCTATATCTAATGGTAAATACATAATGTAAAATGTTATATGTACATAAAATATATAAAATGTATTAGAATTTTATTAAAAATAATCTCACATATTTTACCTTAATCTCGTATCATAACAAATTAAGACTAACCGTGAGTTTCTGAGACCAAAATCCCCGTTTAAAATATGTCGTCATCCCTGATATTATCAATGACATGTTTGATAACGATATGTTTAAACGGGGATTTTGGTCTCGGAAACTCACGGTAAGTCAGAACACTTATTATATTTAAATTTATTTATCATCTAGAAATAAAACAATAATTAATTAAAAAAAAATATTTTATCACTGGTATGAAATAAATTAAAAGCAAATCTTAAAAATTAGAGTATAAATTAGGAAGTCGAATGATATTTGCAATTTTTTTTTAAATTCTACGGCATTGTATTAAAGATTCTCATGTTCGTCCGTTTGTCCAGATAGTACATTGGCTTGTCTCTCTTCTGACGATTTGTACTGGAAATATAAACATCAATTAAAAAAAAATGTCATAAATAATAAAAAAATATAATCTAGTCTGCTTATAAGATCTTTCTACCATAGTCTCTTTTACTATATTACTATTACTAATGTTCTAAATGAGAATGTTTAGATGTATGGATGGATGGATATTTGTTTGAAGGTATCTACAAAACAGCTGAACGGTTTCGATGATATTTGGTATACATATAGAACATAGCCTGGAAGAACACGCAGGCTACTACTAATTATGTTTTTTTTAATTCCGCGCGGACGGAGTCGCGTGCGACAACTAGTATATATTTAAACTTAATAACTTACTAACAGTTTATCCCATTTGAATTTGGATGCCAAGGATTCTGATATCTGTCCCTCCTTCAGTTGTTTCTTAACCGCTCTTTCCACTAGGCGTAGTGAAGAGAACATATTTTGCACGTTGAACGGCTGACGGGCTCTGGAAGTTGTCTGGAAATATAACATAATTAATTAAATATAAATTATTAGTAAGCAATAGCTACATTCATCTGATATAATAAAGCTTTTCTTTTTTATAACCGTATAAAAAAAAACGTTAAAAAGTTTTTTTTTAATCATAAGGTGGCAAACGAGCGAGCGGCCACCTGATATCGCTGAAATAGCGAAGTGACCGTTGTCCATAGACATACGCAATTGCATATGCGTTGCCTACCTTTTGTCTACGGAGGAGAGGATGCACAGAAAGAAAATATTTTCCCTTTCCATGCATCCTCTCATCCGGAAAGTCCACTTCCACTTTCCATCCTTTCTTTATAAGAAAAAGGGTGGGAAGGGAAAGAGGACTAATTTTGGCCTCCGGGACGCATCTACGGTACGGGTCTATTTGTTCTTCCAGACTATGTTCTACATCTATGCCTTATATCACTATGATCTGTAGAGCCGTTCAGGAGATACTTTCTAACAAACATACATCCATCTATCTAAACATTTATAATATAAGTAAGATATTGCTCTCCTTTATTTTATCCTTGAGATACTTGAGAAAGCAATATTTAAGAGTTTTTATACATATAGCCAGTGAAAACTCACTGTTATCTTACCATTATTTCAACAGCATCGAACAGTTTGCTTAACTCTTTCTTCTCTCTGTCATTAAGCGTGGGGTCCTCGTAGTCGAAAATCATGGTTTCCTTTAATTTTCTCTTTATAGTAGCCAATGTTATGGGTGGCGATTGGTCATGTATCTCGCCAGATTTATATGCCGCTTTCGCGTCTTGATTACTGTAAGGGCTGGAAGTTTTACAAAATTAATTAACTAAAGAAAGGAGATAAGAAATACAGTCGAACTTTATAAGAGAGAAACCTCTATAAAAAAATAACAAGGTCTCTTGGACTCTTGATTATCCAAGATCGACTGTTTTGTTACCAAATCTGGAAGCAATGTTTACACTATCTTAGGTAACGGGTTTGAATGATATTTTAAATTAGGCGTATATTTTAAAGCTATAATCATCAAGCTATTTCAAGATCCGATATAAAATATACATACCCTTATCTGTTATTTATGAGTGACTAGCTGTCGCATACAACTCGGTCCGCGCAGAATTAAAAAAAACTTTAGAAATAGCCTATGTGTTCTTCCAGACTATGTTCTACATCTGTGCAAAGTTTCGTCAAGATCCGTTGAGTCGTTCTAGAGATACCTTCAAACAATCTATCTATCTATCTATCTATCTATCAAAATATTCGCATTTTTAATATTAGTAAGATAAAAACTAACTGATGTGGGTTGTATATTTTTTATACCGGACCTTAGACTAAAATTCCAATAATTTACGATGATTTTAATATTAAATGTGGAACAAATAGTTTTGATATTTTTTGAGAAAAAATAGTATTTAAGTAAATTAAACGTTACATTTCTAAATAGTTCTCTTATCAAGAATTATATTCAAATAACTCACCATTGCGATGTAATGTGAATGTTTATGGCCAAGCTAAGAATGGAAATGAAAATAAATTAATCATTTGTTTACCTTTATGTTACACTATTATAAACTAAATTTTATTAAGTAATATTTTTTTTTATATCATAAGATGGCAAACAAGCCAGCGGTCACCTGAAATCGCTGAAATAGCGAAGTGACCGTTGCCCATAGACATATGCAATTGCATATGCGTTGCCTACTTTTAATCGACGGAGGAGGGGATGCACAGAAAAAGTATTTTCCCTTGCCATGCATCCTCTCATCCGGAAAGTCCACTTCCACTTCCCATCCTAGCCTTATAAGTAGAAGGATGGGAAGGGAAAGAGGACCAAATTAGGACTCCGGGACACATTCATCAGATGAAACGCGGAATAGCTTCCACTTGACGCGTGTCTTCTGTGTGTTCGTAGTATTTCACTGAACGACCCGGGACAATTCGTGCGAAGATGTTAAACCGGGCTCTACCACTGTTAATACTACAATCAAAAGCTTAAAATAAGTTTTTATTCAATAAAATACTTTTACAAGAAGCATTTAATAAACTAAGAAGACCTATTTTAAATAAGGATTTTGTGTGCATATTAATTCGTTGTAATGCAATTCTTATTACTTGAGCTTTAAAGTACATATTTAAATAACAATAATTGGACTTAAAGCCCGTACGAAAGAACGATAAAGAAGGCAATTAATGTTGAGAAATTTAAACTGCATTCAAATAATACAGATTGGAAAGACGATATTAAAATCTTCATTAAAAATGAGAGTTTATTGAAGCTGAAATAGTACAAGTTAAATTAAATTCTGTCGTAAATAAATGAAATATGTTTTGTACTCACAAGACGTGTAAAAATAGCACACAGCAAGGTTTCATGGTACGATATAAGTAACTGATTAACAGAATGCGTGGTGCTGCGCGAAATGCAACTGTGATTCGACTCGCCTCGTAAAACTAGTCGCGGTTATATTGTGCCCCATTCAGATTGGATTTTACTGCGATTGATACATTTTGATACTTTTATATTTGTTGGTTCCTTTTCTATAATACAGAAGTTATAATCGAGAGAAAACAATAGAAATCGTATGATTACACTTTTCTACCAATTAGTTCTTTAGACTAATGGGAAAAAATAAATGGATGGACATACCTGCGAAAAAAATGCTGCTATACGCTTTTGAAATACATAGTTATTGTATTTTTTTTTTGCCTTTACAAGTGCCACTAAGAACTATGTTACTTTATCTAGACTAATTTACAGATATAGCAATGTACTTATTGTCTTTGAGATTTTTGTTATTTCTCCATTACTTAGGTTTGGCAAAAAAGCTGGAATTATTTGAGCTTGAAAATTTAGAGGTTTGTCAACCTTAAATTAAAATAATGCAAGTATCAAAATGTTTTGCGCGGTGTACATAACTCTTGAAACGCCAAACACTAAAGGCATTGTTCGGAGCGCGAATGAAAACTTCAAATGTCAACAATATAACCCGTACGTTGTAGTTTGTACCGTTTTATATATTATTTAATAATTGTAACATAACAATGTACCTATATATTACATACAAAATGTTACAATGTATTGAGAATATAAGATGACATACAAAAGAATGAAGAATGGGACACTTAGCGTGAGTAGTAGATCAAACTTTAATACGTGGGTCTAACAGTGTCCATATCAAAGCTTTACTTTCATTCAGAATGTTGCAAACTATTAAAAAATGTATGCTGTTTAATGCCGAGACACGAATAAATTATTAGTCATCTCTTTCATTCTCTTTGAAAGAAACAGAGATAGTATGTCTTGTTTACATCACCTAAAAAGTGTTGTCATAGTTTCAGTTTAAGGTTGTTATTTTTATTACCTATTAGCTGTTACCCGCGACTTTGTTCGCGCGGTATTAAAATAATAATAAGTAGACTATGTTCTACATGTCTGCCAAATTTCATCAAAATCTGTTGAGCCTTTTCGGAGATACCTACAAACATCCATCCATCTAAACATTCGCATTTATAATATTAGTAAGATGATAGATATCGGAATACAATTTGATTTTTTTTATTTTTAATGTCTTTTTTAATCAGGTGTGCTCAGAGAGTAGTGCTAGTGAGTCGTCACTGGAGTCATCAAGTGGGTACGGCAGCCAGGGGGCGTTCGCGGGGGAGGACCACGCCCATCAACACCAAATACAACACCCTGATGGTAACGTCTTGATACTTTACATACGTAGTTTTAATTGTTTTTTTTTGTATGTGCGTGATTGTTTATGCACTTGTGTGTTGAGCTTTCGATTGTAGTGCTAAATTTTTTGTGATTTTTTGATACATTTTTTTGGATGATCTTTTTTTTGGCTACTTTTTTATGTTTTTAGAATCTCACAGATATAATATTTGCATCACAATATTGTAGATCTAATAATTAAATTCAACAAAAAATAATTAAATTTTTTTTAATATTTGGAATAATATAACATTCTTTAAGAAATAAGCCTATAATATTGTGAATACATGAAAAAAAATTTTTTTTTCACCAATTTTTTTGCATTTTTTTGTTTTTCGCAACATCCTGTAGTTTTAATGCATGCATGCGATATTGCGCTATCCGTACAGTTGATTCGGAGATAGTGACACTACGACGTGATAGCGAGGTAGCAGCGGCCAGGGAGAACTTCTCGATATCTCTGGGTAGTCTGGAGGAGGCGGTACGCTCTCTAGATGAAGTCAATGATACTCCGGCTTTCGCCACCGTCAGTAAGAAACCAGCCGTACCCAAACGTAGACCGGTTTCTATGGCAGGTTTGTAATTTTTTTTTGTTTTTTTTTGGGATTCAGTACTTTTTAAACTGATTGCAGGTGAGTATGTTTAATTTTTTTATGTTTAGATTTTTTTGTACATTTTTTTTCCAAATGTACTATGCAACTGAGAATTTACGTACTATTTAAAAAAATAGAATCTAATTTTGATTAACTTGTCTTAAATTTAAGTAATTTAACTGAAGGTTTTATTAATTTTTGTATCGATTTAGTTGTTACCTTGAGTTTACATTTGTTATATTTGGACAAAGACATTTCGATGTCTCGTATTTTTAAAGTGTCAATGTTGTACAGATTTGAACAGTGGAAACGCACTGTAATGTATACATTCAGGACATGACGTATGTTTGTATGTTTGTATTACCAGCAACAGTGTGGTCTCGGCGCGGGTCGTCCAGTTCTCTGGGCAAGCCGCCGCCCCCCGTGCGACGCTCCTCCTCCATATCACGCCCACAGCGACCCCCATATGTACAGGTCTGTTTCTATATGTTACATTAAAGTTTTTATTTAGTATTTTAGTAGATGCTCAAAAAAGTATTAGGTTTATACCGATCTAATCTAATGAATGAAAAAGGAAGTCCTTGAATGTTTTTTAGATTTGTTTTTGAAATATTTTTGGATATTTTCTATAAAAAAAGCTAGGTCTAAAAAAATCAGCTCATATGGTTCCCACCGAGTAGTTCTAGTCTATCTTAAATTGGACATGCTAAAAACTAGGTCAATATATCAAATTCAATTACATTTTTTACTACTTATTAACTAACTTACCATTAACTTACTCCCTTTTGATTTATTTTGAAAAAAAACAGAGATTGTTTGTCAATTGTGACTGCAGTGGAAGCCCACAGTAATGTGTCTGGGTATATGTTTGCAGAACAACATGGCGAGTCCGCAGCTGTGCACTGAGGCGGACAACCTGCCGCCGCCGCCCGCCTTCCTGCTGCAGCCTGACACTGACACTAACCCTGGTATGATATCCATACCTATTATACATATCTGAATCCATAAATCCATAACATGGCCGTGTCCAAGATGGAGCAGAGGGGGTAACTAGAGAATCGATAAATGTTAAATCAAAAAACTACTTCAAACTACTAAAGTGTAAGCAATTATACATATATAACTCAAAAACTACTTAAACTTTGCAGTCTTCATTTTTAGGTCTCATTATTTTGGAATAAGCATTCTCTTTGGAATATTAAATAGTAATCAGATTGGTTGTCCCCCATTGATCATGAGTTTGACTCTCCTCTCCCCCACTTCACCGTTTCCTCCCCCTTCTTCATCACCGGCTGATGATGACTTTTTTTTGTAGTACTTACAAAAAATCTTAAAATTTCCAGCTCATGCAGGAATAAACGTAGCGGAAACTGTGAAACAATTAACGGAGTTGAAACATATGCCAGCTTCACCCGGTCTGGTACGACGTACCATGCAGAACCAGAACCAAAACCAGAACTCGAATGTGAACACGAACCAAACTCAGAACCAGAATCAACCATCGTTGAGTACGTTCCAACAAGCTAAGAGCAATTTTAATACAAACTCGAGTGGAAACTTGAACCCTATATACGGACAGACAGGACATCGGATCATGGCGTATGTAGAGAACTCAATTTATGTCAGGAAGAGCAGTCTGAATGTTTCTAGCTCTGATCTCTTTAGAGATGCGAATGCTGGTAAGTTTTTTTTTATTAATTTATGTTAATAAACTTTCAAATACTTTATGTAGTGGGTCGGGTTTTTTTGTGTTTAAATTCTTATATTCATTACTAATATTGTAAATGCGAAAGTCTGTCTGTTTGTCCAGCTTTCACGGCAAAACTACTGAACCGATTTAAATGAAATTTGGTACACGTTTAGATCCTGGGGAAGGACATAGGCTATTTATTAACGGGAAAAAAGGGTTGTAGGGTGTTGAAAGTGGGGGTAGAAATTTGTATGGCAGTATCGTCATTTTCATCCTCAAGGGTGCAAAATAAATAATAGGGAAAAAGGGGATGAAAGTTTATATTAAAATATGTAAGGTTTATGAGAAGGTTTTGTAAGTTTATTATGTTTTGTTGTCATATTTTATGAGTAAAATTAACGCGAACGAAGCCGCGGACACAGCTAGTATTTAACAAATAATTTTTTTTAACCTCAGGTAACATTTACGGCGAGGGTAAAGGTTCTCCTCACGGCTCCAGTCCCTCCACTCCGAGCTATGGGGAGACGAACTCCTTCTCCAGCTTCGGTCCTCGTGTCAACAATGACTCGCACTACGGACAGACAGGTCTCTTTCATTCTTCATATTAGTATATCTTACTTATATTATAAATGCAAATGTTTGGATGGATGGATGTTTGTTTGAAGGTATCTCCGGAACGGTTGCATGGATCTCGCTGAAATTTGACATAGGACATGGTTTGGAAGAACACATAGACTACTAATTAAGTTTATTTGTAATTGCGCGCAGACGGAGTCGCAGGCGACAGCCTAGTACTTATATAAAAACAAATTGTAATCTTTTAGTAAACTAAGAAATCCTTAGTTTATCCTTAATTTTACTTAACAACTGACCGAGGGTTTCTGAGACAATAATCACAGTATAAAACATATAGTAATCCCTGTTAACTTTGACAAAATAGATAATAACATGTTTTGAAAGAGGATTTTGATCTCAGAAACCCATGGTTAGTTCTTTTAGTATGGGTTTTTCAACTAAAACCAAAATCTATATAAGATCTTGGACAACACAGGGATGGTAATGACACAATATATTAGGTGCGCAACTAATATTTAAAACGGAGATGGACTCAGAAACCCACTTGAAACGACTTGAAACGGCTATACTGCATGATAAAATGTATTTTCTGAACTGAACTGAATTTGAACTTGGATAACATTAAAAGAGATCTCGATTTTCTTCTATAGAAGTCTCTTTCTAACTCAAATTTCTCATCTTGAATTTCTCATTTTGAAGTCATAGAGGTTTTTAACTCTCGCTTATCCATATTCCATTATGAAATCATACTAACCGCACGATTCATTACATCCGGGTCCAGGGTTCAAGCTGCAGCAGGAGAAGAAGTACTCGAACAGTATCTACGCAGCGCCTGCGCAGCTCGGACCCGCG